TCTCTGGCAAGGCCTCCTTGTCTTGTGTGCCCCAACAGTGAGGCCCCATTAGCACAGGCAGGTTGAGCAAGCTATTTTCCTTGAGGCACAATATGGGTCAATATGCAGAATAAAAAGGAGCTTGAATCACAAGCTAAATTTCATAAAAATGCCAGAAGAAAATATTAGTAAATATTTATCCAGTTAAAAAAATGAAACACAAAGATCTCTAAAGCAGTCAACATTATGGAAAAGATAAAATTGAGGACATAGGCACCTACCACACAACAATGTCATACAACTGAAAAGTAAACATTAAATTCACAAAGTTACTTTCCTTACCATGTAAGAAGTTTTTATACAGGGAAGAGTTTGCAAAATAGAAAAACACTAATAGAAAAATGGATACAAACATAGAATTTATAAATGACTGAGGCTCTAGTTAAATACACACAGACCTCAGTTATCAAGTATGAAGTATGGAGGGGTATAGACCAGATCATTAACAGAGGCTATCTTTGGGTTGGGAGTTGTAGATATCTTTACTGTATTTGTACATATTTGGATTCTAAACTTTTCTGTACAATGTACATGCATGGTTTTGGTAAGCAGCTATTAAGTAAAAAAACAAGTTCAAAATGCGGTGGGAAATGTGGAATATGGAAACGGCCTCCTCCCACTCGAGGAACATTTCCTAGTGCTACGGGCATCTCTTGTTTATGGCTTCCATGTAATTTACCACTAACATTGTTTAGGAAATACAGTAAGATGAGAAGAATGGATTCTTACAAAGACTATATACATCATGAAAAACCTAGAAGAAACCATCCACTTCTTATTTAACTTTTTTTCATACAAAAAGGAGTTCTTTTCTAATTTATGCTTAGACAAAAGTTGCCTTATGAAAGTTAAATAATTCTCTCATCTGGGTATATAAGTTAGTGCATAGTGAAATTGTTCAGTAGTTTATTTCTTCTATTCTAAAAATGTATGGACTAAAATGTTTCCTTATAATTTCTATTTATCTTTCCTAAGATAAAATATAATTGTACTCCATTTTCTAATCATCATTTAAATATTTACAAGTTCTCTTTTGTGCAAAAATATTTAATGAGTTTATTTAGCTATATTTTCATTGTTTCCTCTGACAGAAATTCAGTGTGAGAAAGGATTTTTGAAATAATTTGATACCCTTCCCCTCGACTGAGAGGAGAGCCACGGTCCACAGAGGTTCAATTACATACAGCTGAGAAACATGAAAGCCAAGCTAAAAATAACCCATACGAGGGTAGATTACTGCTTCTTCAGATTCATTTTCATTTCAATTTTATACTCATAAACTAGGAGAATTCTTTAGCACTAAAAAAAGTAGTTTGACTTAAGTGTTACAGTTGGTGCTTCAGTGCTGGCTCTTGTCCGGGTGTGCAGGGACCCTGCGGATGTGATGCTGCCTGTAGCGCTGTGTGGCCAGGGCACGTCTGTACCATCTCGCCAGCGGTTTTCACAGATTGGACACAACACATAGGACCCTAAGTATCTTACGTACAGACCCACTTTTAGGTAGCATGAGTACTAAATGTCAGTTTTTAAATTTCCAAAAGAATAAAATACTTTTACCACTTAGATTTATAAATAAGAAAGTAACTTGGAATTTTGCACTTTGCTTCTGAACAGTAGACAGGATCCAGCTGAACCACAACGGTGCAGAATAAATACATCTTTAAGAAAAAAAAGAGGCTCTACTTAATTACATTTTTAGGTTATCAGGATAACATTCAGTGTCCTTGATCTGCCAAACTGTAAGTTCTTTGAAGGCAAGAGAACCTTCTTATTTTTCTTAGTTGTCCCAGGCCTACCAGAGCTCCTGGCATAGAGACAGCACTCAGCAAATGGTGTCAAACGGTGACAGTAAGAACAAATGGGAAGGGTCTGAGGAGACCAGAAGGATTGGCTGCAACCAATACTCTGAGATAGTAGCTTTATGCTGACCATGAAATGTCAGATATATACATATATAAATTGTGTACACACAATAACTTTATCACTTTGTAAAGTTTATTGCTTTGGTTATTACTGGTTATTTACTTTAATAGAAAATAAAAATAATAAGTAATTTTTAATTTCCCAAAGGCTCTTGTGCTTCATATCTGAGAAAGAAGTTTCTACACAAGGACTTGGGTTTGTAAATGAGAAAAAGAATACTGTTGGAATAAAATATAGCTATGTGTGATACAAGTTTTATTTTATACTCTTCATATTTCTAAGGAAAAGAAAGGAAAAAGAAATTAAAGGTAAAAACTTCCCAAATGATGACCCAACACCGCTTCTAGCAATAGGTCAAAAACTGAGGCTACAAGAGCTTAAAGATTTCTTATGAGAAACTGTAGTAACAAAAATATTTTACAATGACTCATCTCATAATAATGCCCTCTCTCCCCAAAGTACACATCACAGTTCCCACATCCCTGGCACATGGGCACTTGGTGCAGAACTATTGCAACATGAAGCATCTTCCTGCACCAATGTCCTTCAATGTCCCGCAAGGTGACAGACTTCCCTAGAGCTGCAGGGGGTAGGGGGGAGGCAGGGCTGTGCTCATTCTGCACCCCTCCCGGCAGAGGGGGATTACTGCCTTTGTACTGCTTGATCTGAACAGCGGTTCTTTTGTGCAGTCACCTTTTTAAGAAAGTGCAGCTGGCTTCCCTGTGTACAGGCTGAAAGAATCCCAGGCAGAGCAGTCCTGAATAGGCACTCCTAGATTTCCTCACCAACTGTCGCTTAGACACTGAGGATCCAAAAAAATGAAAAAAGAGAGACGAAGGAAAGAGGAATACACTACTCAAGGATACAGCACAAGTAAGGCGGCCAGGCTGTTGCTTAGGTACTGGCTCACTCCCTTGTCACTTCTGTGTCTGGCAAGAGAAAGTTCAGTAAAGTTATTGGAAAGTAACTGAAGTTTAAACTGCAGAACAATCTCCAAAACAGCTACTCAGGAAGCCAATCCCTCAGGCCTTGCCCAGTCAGATGGTCCTTGAGAGCTGGATATCACTGGGTTTGGGCATTTGAAATATATAAAGGAGTAAGAATGCCACCTCTGGAGCACAAGGCAATTCTGGGAAGGAAGGATTGTTTATTGATCCTTAAATAGCTGAGATAGGAGTGCTCTGCAGAGGTCAAATATCAATGAAGATAAAGCTCCAAGACAATTGTGGTAGAAGGACTGCTTTGTTGTTGGCTCGCTGGACTATTTGTAAGAGATGGCCCTTTGCTCGACCCAGATATTTTATTGTTGGTAGGGACAAGCTTGGGGAAGTGGCAGGCTGGAGGCCTGTAAGGAGGGAAAACTTATAGGAGAGCAAGCCAAAGGGAAGGGTGCATAAAGCCTGCATCCAGGGATGGAGCTGTTCAGTAGCACCAGGCTTTAGCTGACTCCTGAATGGGAACCAGCATGAAGGGACGATCAAAGGTGGGGAATAAGTGCAGCTGAAAAGACAGAACTGGACCACATTGAAGGAGAACCACTCAAAATAGTGAAACAATCCTTACGATGTAATGGCATTTTTCTTAGAAGCTAACTTGGTCATCTCTGACAGTGTCACCACTAGAAGTCAGAACATTCTGAAGATAAGAAAACTGAACTGGCTCATGTGAAGGGCTCACACATTCTTAGTCAATAAGAATGAAAATTCTTAACATTTAAGAAGTCCTTAAGATTACAGGATTTAAATGACAGCAGTTATAGAAAATTTACATCTGTATAAATACCAGTGCACCTAAGAAGGATAATATTTTATTTGCACTGGGATATTTTAATTCACCCTTACTAATTTAAGATATTAAGCATTAATATTACATGTCATACAAGATCCAATTCTTTCTGTATTCCATCTGAAAGCAATATTACTTTCTAGTACAGTTAATTGTTTTCTTAAACCACAGATCAATTTCTACATTGCTTTGACTCACATATGCTATTATTACAATACATTATACTTGTTTGCCAACAGCATTACCACTTCAGTATTTATTTGCTCCAGATGAAGGCATACTAAATTTAGATAAGAGTTCTCTGTTTCTTACTTTTTCTGGGTCTCCATTCACCCTCATTGCCTCTAAAAGACTCTCCCTATGTATTTATTTAAGATGAGATAAGAAGCTGGTTTTAGACCATGTGAGCCAAATTTCAAATGGATTAAAAATAAACATAAGTGGTAAGTTAATATTCCCATAAATTATTTTAGAAGCATAATGTCATACTTCATGTCCACAGTTAATGTCTGCTACGTTTTTCCTCTCATTGTTCAAGTTTTAAGACATATGTCCAGAGAATATGAAAAAAGTTTTGTACAGAGGTAAGTTCAAACAGACTGGACTGTGACTGCAGTAAGATAACGCACAAATGCAAAAGGAGACCCTCTTCAAGGTACATGTTAAGCTTAAAAGATAAAGCTGTAAGCTGTAACATTACTGGGCTTTTCTGTATCTATTTGTCTGAATAGAGAACTCCAATGAAAGCGTAACAGGATGTGATGGAGATTAATACTTAGCATGAGAAAAGAGAGGAAGAAAACCAACCATATCAGCTAAGAAGTAACACACTGGGGAAAAGTACTGGTTCTCATGAAAATGTCAGTGATTCACTATGGAATAAAATCCAAAAGCCACTGACCCCAATGAGAGCTTCCAGTGGAAACATGTGGATTTTGCTTCATTTCATTTACAGACTTTGCTTTATTTCATTTAAATCACACAACCACAGTTTTTGTAAAATGTTGCTTTCTCATTTAAAATTGATAGGGAAAAACACTGCTGATAAAACTAAATTTTCAAGAGGTCTTAAAAAAACCCTCATCAATTAATCAATATTATCATGCAAAATAGGTAGGATATTTTTGGTCCCTGAAGACACGTATTAAGTGCTCAGTAGTTAAATGACAACAGAAAAAATTCTTTAAGAACTTTTTTTTTACAATAAATCAATAGTTATGCAGCTTTGTTTATAGAATTTTTTTTGTATATACCAGCTCTTCCTTCTGTGTTGAAAGATCATGACTGAATGAAAGCTGACTTACACAGACCACAAATCTGTCAGGGAATACACGAAGTTCTGTACAAAATAAAGACAACCAATTACTAGGCATCAAAAACAGAAATGCTTGGTCCCAGATTTTTAAGTTATAGCAGTAAGCATGTATGTGTGAAACACATGTGTCCTTTCCCTACCTTTCAGTCTCTGTCACCTGCAGGTTAGGGCAAGTACAAAACTCTAGGAAATGCAGGGGAGGCTGCAAAGTGGTCCACCTGAGCCCCTGGACCATTACATCACATGAAACCCTCAGGCAGGGCCTTTGCAACCCTTCTGCTGTGTCAGTTTACTGTTGTTCTGTCCATAACTCGAATTTGGGAAACAGGATCAATGTTTCTAATGTGAGTGCAGGCTTAAATAGGAAGAGGAAGAATATTAGAATCTGAAATTGTGACTTGTGAACATTCTTATTAGTTTGCGTATTGTATCCTTAATCAACTGGTCTTAGAGAGGCCCCTAAAATGGGGGGCAAACTCTCAATCTGAATCAGGCTATATAAACAGGAGTTTCATTAATTAGGAATTAATAATCAAAATATTAAGGAAGTGGTTAACTATACAGCAGTAAAGATGACACAACTACACCACAATCACAGTAATCTAATTATTACAACTTCTTAAAGCAAAAGACTTCTGGGTGGGGAAGGCTGAATGTCACCTGTATCTCTACTTCTCTCATCTGTCTGTCCCTCCATCCGTCTGTGGGTCCATCTATCCATCCACCCAGCCTCCACCTATCCCTGGAGTGATGTTAAGCTGGTGCTAACTGAGTATTTTCTGGGTGGTTGGAGAGGGTCTTTTCCCTTCTCTATATTTTGTTGTATTGCTTGAATATTTTTTATAATACACATATATCACAGTTATGACAGAAATAAAGCCCTTTTTCTAAAAGACAAAACTTCCCTTTTAGATGTGACCATGTTTTTAAAGACATAAATCAGATAAGAGAAACCGTTTACATACATTGCACATTCCCAACAATGAATGACAATGTGAAGGCACTAAGGTCATAGCATATCTCAATCTGATGCACACAGAAGCCAAGCATGAAGGTGTCAGTTATGCAAACAGAACTTGAACACAGTTAACACCTTACACCACTTGGCTAGGTTAAATCATAGCAAAAACCTAATGAGTTGATGTTCCAGTAACAGCCCTCTCTTTACCTCTCACCAGGACCATTGCTGTCTCCTTGGTGGTAGCTACTCTTCCCTATTCCAACTTATTCTGCTAAGCACAAGCAAGTTACATTTCTAAAAGTAGCTCCACTTAACCACATTCAAGCCCTTCTATGGCTCCTTAGCACACAATACATACCATACAAATCATCAAAGCTCTCCATGATTGGGACCTAACCTGTAGCTTTGGTTTTACCCCCACAAGTCTTCTTCATATAGAAACCCCTATTTCAGGGATCCTGAATATATGCTTAAACTTTGACCTCTCGTGGATGTCATATTTGGTCAGGTGACCAGGAATGAACTTTGAAAAGGCAGAAAACCAAAATTATAAAAGCAGATTTTATTTATCCATTAATTCTTAAACTATCTTACTGAGATGAGTGGTAAGTACTCAGCTTCCCACTTTAAGGAAGGAGAAACAGAGTCACAGAGTTCATTATTTGCCACTCACCCTCCTCCCCAATTATCGTTAACACTGAAGTACAACTGTTGGTGGATCAGAATTAAAATTCAAAATGATCAGTTTTAAATTATTAGTGGACCAGAACCAGAATTCAAAGTTAATCCATTCTATCAAATAATTCCTCTGTTTTGTTCTTCCACTTCTTTCTCTGAAAAATTAGAATGATAGAATGTGGATTCTGAACATTTTGGTGCTGGGTATTGTGTAAACAGAAAGCAACTTCTGTATTCTTTAATTAGGTCACATTTGAGATTTGCATTACTTTAATATATAAATAAAGATTTAGGTAACAGCAATCTCTACCATGAAGAGTAGCTAGGCAGAATTTTAACAGATTCGGGTTAACTGGCTTACTTTACTAAGAGAACTGAGGGAACTGGAAGGCCCCATTAAGAGAGTAATATGTTCGAGTGACATGTAAAGTTAAGAAAGTACATATAATTGTGAAGATTCCAAGAGCAGACCTCCATACAGTAATGTTTAAAGTCCCTGTGTCAGTTTATATACTAAAATCATCCAAGGAAGTTGAACTAGATTTTCTTTCCAATGCTCAGATCAACCAGGAGAATGATCATTAGCATCTGACTTTATTGTTGTTGGCTGGACATGTTTGACATCATTTCCTTAGTGGACATCTTGACTTGGGAAAATAAGGGGAAGCTGGCCTCGCCACACACCTAGGAAAGGCTCTGACGGCTCCAGCCTGGGAAAGCATCTTCTTGTGCACACACTTGCTCCATATCCCAGGGCCTCAGTGTGCAGAGGCAACGATGAAGTGATGCATAGTTTCACTCCCTGTGAGTCACACTGGAAGCTCAGTGAAAGTGCTGAGAGTGCAGAGATGCAGCAGGAAAGCAAAGTATAATGTGACCCAGCTCACTGTTCTCAGGCAGGCAATAAACAGTAAAAATTAAGAAAGAAATAATCACAAATGTTTGGAAATATTTTTACTTAGTACTTCAATATCATGAAGGCAACGAAGCAGGTAGGAATCTTCATTCCTTAATTTTCTTCCCTTCCTAGGGCAAGCTAATTGTACAAAATGTCTGACAGTCCAAGAAATCAGTTTCTTACCAGGATTCTGTGAACCCCCAAAGCAGCGAAGGCGTATACCTCTCTTGAGGAAATAGGCTGTGATTTGAAAACCAAAACCTGTACAGTAAAAGAGGACATCATTAGGTTACAAGCTTGCTTGCCACTGAATCCCACGGGCCAAGCCCAGTGCCTGCAATCCAGTAAGCATTCAATAATTATTTAGCTAATGAAAGAGTACAAGAATCAATAGAGGGCCTTACCTGAGAGGAAGGGGTGAAAATTACAATCTTGGCTCTTCTAGGAGGCCTGGCCGCAGCACCTGGGATGGTCCCTATTGCCTGAAGTGGCTCAGTCACTTCATTGGTAAAATGTAATAAATGAGGAGGCATGACAGGCCTAAAAACCAGGAACTTCATATGGGGTCATTAATTTAGACTAAGTTGGTATATAGGTGTTGGCCACCTTTTGGTACTCATTATTTATGATCTTACAAAAGAATCATTTAATACGTATAAATAAGTCATTCTAATTCAGGTACAGAAACACCTTTATAAGGATGAGATGAAAAAAAAAATGAGCCAAAAAAAAAAAAGAAAAAGAAAATCCTTCAATTCATGAGAATAACATAATGAAATGGACCAAGAGCACCAAATATTGGCAAGAATGTGGCAAAGTAGAATTCTCATACCCTGCTGACAGAAGTACAAATAGATGCAACCACTTTAAAAATCTGCTTGACTATCTGAAGTGGAACTTAAGTGTGAATATACAGGTGGTCATAGTAACACTTTTCACAATAGTCCCAGTCTGGAACCAGTGCAAATATCTACCAATAGAATGTTTATTATTAAAAAAAAAAAAAAAAGGTGGGGGAAGCCAGTCACATACTGAAATACTATACTGCCCCTAAAAATGAACAAGCTAAAACAGTGGCTATATCAGAAACAAATCTCACAAACACAATGTTAAATGAAAGGAAAGAAGATTAAATTCCATCTATAAAATGGACATATTACCATTCATCTTACAGAGTGGCAACAATTTCAGGTGGTTCACAGAAAATATAAGCTGAGTTCCTTTCTTTCTCCCTCCCTCCACTTTCAGCTCCCTGTACGTAAAAATTACTCTTGATTGATGACTTTCCTGAAAATATTAAATAAAAGTATTCCTGTTAACATGGTTGAGTACTTGGTGGAAAAACCAGAAGTGAAAGGCCTGGAAAAGAGAGGTGAGGGTCTCCAAGTTCTAAAATAAACTCAGAGACAGTATTTTATCCATGAAATTGGAGAAGCCAACAGTTTCAAGAGGTGGTCTCCAGGATGTTCAGATTCTTCAAAGTCCATGACTATGAGTTTTTTAAAATAACTTGTATATAAAGAACACGAAGAAGTTTCTACTTTTACATTCACTATTCTTCTAACACTCCTGTAGAAAGATCTAGAGCACCAGTGACCACAGACTAAATGTCCTGTCTAAATAAGTACAGCTCTGACAGCACAATTGCTTTAATCACAGGGGTTAAGAAATAATAGCAACATCTATGATAGGATAATCTCCAGATTAACTGAGATGAATTTTTTCCTAACACACTTGAAATAGATTACATTTTGGATATGTGTTTCCTCTGCTTAACATGTCAAAATATGCACACCTGTGGCATTATTCTGAGTGCTTCTAAACAAATACTTCATTCCTCAGGTCACTGAGAGTGGAGAAGTGACTTCCACATCAGTTTATTTGTCCTATCATAGAGGGGAGAAAAACTGTAGGAGAGAAGTCCTTTATAATTTGGGATTCACGAGCACACAGAGAAAATTTTAAAGTGATTTAAAAAATAATGATTTATAATGTGAGTCGTCCAAAGCACTGAACAACAATAAAAAAAGTGCAACATCTAAGTCATTCTGCCCTTGTTGGCAGATCACACTTAACATTTCTAACTCTCAGTGATTAAGATCCAGATGACATGTTTGAAATGTCAAAAATCTTCCCTGTACAAAATCCCCAGCAATAAATATTATTATTAGGAAGAGGTTAAATCTAAAGTTGACTATGAAAGCTACAACTCTGAGTTCAGGAAGTCTGGTATCTGGAGATACCACTTGAGTGATAACTAAATCCTACTTGGTTGGCTAAAGAATAAATAAATCTCAATATGACACCTTTCCCTATAGAAAAATAAAGCAGCATAAAGCAAATTCTAACTAAATGATTTATTACTGGAATTACTAAGAGAACTGAATTTATTAAAACCTTTTCCTCTACATTCTCCACCCTCAGGATGGGATTAAGTTAAAAAGAATCATTCCTAAATTGGTCTCTTGTTTTAGTTTAGATGAAAAGCTCTGCCTAATGGCACCTACAAGAAAAATGGCAAGTTTCACATGTGAAAAAAAATTTGCACCTACTTATTACAAATTCCACTGGCCATAGGAAAGTTTATTGTTCAAAGAGAAACTTAAGGAGAGATTAAACATAATAGGTTCTTGTACCAGTTCTTATGGCAAACTGATTTTGATATAAAAGCAAAAAAAAAATCATTGCTGATGAAAAATCACTGCTGATGAAATCCTTAGGGAGAGGTATTTAATTTATTCATAGATAACAGGCAATGATAAAGACTATATTCTTATCTTTGCTCTTTAATGAAAGCGGTATCACAGAGTTCATCAAGCCACTGAGATTCTGGACTTATCCAGGGCCAAAGCAAAGCTCTACTATTCTCTACAGCTAAATAGCAACTTGGCGAAGAATCCAGGAGGCCCTGTCCTTTTCCTTCTAGGGGCACCAGCTCCCGGCTTGCTACACTGGTGTTCTAAATGCACAGATCTCCTGTTAGTAGAAGGTTGGCTGGGCGGGGGGGGGGCGGGCGGTAGCAGTGGTTTGGGGGTGGGGAGCAAGATGAAAAATCATAAAATGAAAAAAACTTTTCATTTGAAAATTACTTGACAATGGCATTCCAAGATGTTTAGACGCTTGTAAATCATTTTTAAGTGTGCCCATTTTCTTGCTAGCTCCTGTGGTTCTCCTAAATCTGAGGACTGTCTTTAGGCAGAAGAGACAGGGCAGTTAGAGGAAGGGCAGCTTTGTGGTAGAAACATCTTTTTACTAGCAGTCTTCAGGTATGTGCATTTCAAGAAATAATTTATATTCCTGCACTAATGTCACAAGATGTCCAGTACAAGCAAGAGTCCATTTCCCCCTGACCTCTAAGCAGCCCCATAAGTTTCCACTCGCTATGCCTCTTGCGTTCTGTAATTTGCAAAGAGCTGCTTCTCTCTACCTTGCTACAATCTCCCAACACACAATGAAGCCCAAAATGACCTGTTATCACATTAACTTTCTTCTGGTGTACCTAGTTATTCACCAAAGAACATTAATGTCCAAGAAAGAAAGTCAGTAATATTTATGAGGGGAAGAAAGGGTGGTTCATGTATAAGGACAAATCAAAGTTCTGCATATTTTTATTTTCTGTTCTAAAATAAACTCCAAAATAGCTTTATTAGAATCTCAGAGATTTTATGAATAGAAAGGAAAAACCAACAATAGCAACATAATCAAATATGAGTTGAACAAATTCCATCCTGGCTTTACAAGGCAGTAGATTAGTTTTTAAGTCATACTGTGCTCCAATAAGTAATACTTTTTGAGGGAGTGGTCATTTATTGGGATTGTTTTATTTCATAGTCCCAAGACACTGAGAGCAAATATCCAACATGCAGAGTTTACTGTGAAACTATCCAGCCTCACTTGTTTTCCAGGGGACTCATGGCCAAGGTGACTTGAGCTTTCCCCAAGGCTGCCAAGAAGAGTTTGTGGTACAGTGGAAAGCCCTTACCCATGGCTATTCTGAGACCATTCACAGGGAGCCTGAGAAAATGCTTCTCAGTGACCTGGCAGGTAAGCATCACTTCACAGTGGGCTCTATCCATCACTACATGGCATTTTTCCCAAAACATAAGGCAGGTTCAGGAAGACTTCTCTCTATGAGGTGACTTCTTCATTAGTATCATCATTCACAATGATGAAAAATTTCAAACATCTAGAAAAATAGTGTGAAGAACACTCTAAACTCACCATCTAAACCCAATAACAGATAATATTTTGTCATATTTCATATACACATTTAATAAACCATTTCAAGATAATTAGACATCATAACACTTTACTGTTAAATATGGAATCAGACTCTCACACAATGACATTCTCCTGCAATACCTACATCATCAAAATTCTGAGATCACAACTGACTATGACATTATTGCTCAAATAACTAATCCATATTCAAATTTCTCAAACTATAGCCAAAATGCATATTGCTGATTTTTCTCCTGAACTGGGATCAAGCCAAAGACCATGCAATGCATTTGGTTATGTCTCTTACACCTCCTGTGATGTAGATTAATCTCCCTCTCAGTTTTTTTTTTCATAACTCTGATTTTTTTCAAGATGATGAATGAACCCCCCTCCCAATTCAGGATTTAAATAGGTATTTCAAAAATCTCAGTTGCCTAAATACAAAATTTCAACCTGCACACTCCTTTTGAATGCCAATCATTTATTAATTTTGATGACTTGTTTAGCTGCTGCAGGAAAATGTAAGTTCAGACTGAAGCTATAATTATAATTTGAAGTCTGGAACATAGATGATTTGAAGATTTAGTTCTAAAAATGATTTCAAAGAATCAAATCTTAAATGTACAGATTCTTAAGTTTTTAGCAAAGGTAAGCTTACCTAAGCAGTTGGATAGTGGTCTCATACTTGTTTTAAGAAAGGGTACTTGGTGGCAATCAGATGACAATGTGCTGACCTAGAAGCAGCTTGGTACTGCATGCCAGCCTGTTTGGAGTGACTGTTTCCAGTCTGAAACCATGAGTCAGTTCTCATTCTCCATCTTAAGATCTGGGTGGGGTTTAATAAGAGGGTAGGATGGAAGGAGCTGATATCTACCAACTACTGAAAATGTCTTACATGCTACACTAACTAGACCAGGCACATATAAAGTATTTAAAAGAAGGAGTGTTTTAAGGCTATTCTGTTCAGGAAAAATGAAGTTGTAACTCATTACTTTTGGAACTGTGTCAACTAGGAAAGTTACACCTGTCTTTATCAAGAG